AAAGTTTTACACAAAAAGTGAATTTATTTCGACACAAAAGTTGTGTTCATTTGAATGAAAGGAAATTCAAATGTAATGAAGAAAATTGTGGCAAAAGTTTTGGCCAAAAGTCATCTTTAGTTAGACACAAACAAATCATACATTGGAAAGAAAAATCATTTGTTTGTCATATCAATGATTGTAACCAAAGTTTTACACAAAAACATCATCTAAAAGATCACATGAAAAGACATTTTAAAATAAAAAGTTTTAAATGTGTTTAAAATAGTTGTCGCAAATCACAACTAATTCAGCACAAATTCTTTCATTCGGGAGATAAACCACTTGTTTTTGAATTCGATATTTGAAATAATAGTTTTTATTAATAATTAATAAATTATTCTAATTATAGTATAAAATTGAACTTTTTATATTTGAGTTTATTTTTAAAATTTATGTATTTTCTGAAATTAATTTTATATATTCAATATATGATTATTCTGATATATTATTTTAATACACGTTTAGTTAATTATTAATTCAATAATTACATTTACAAATTATTAATACAAATGTGAATTATATCATTAAACTTATATATTTTGAAAGCAAACAGATTTTACTTTTACAATAAAAAGCCCTTTTTTGTTAATAAGTTTGTATTTATTCAAAAGCACTTAATTGTTTAACTGCTTTTACAGTATATTATAAAATAATATTTACTCATATAGTTAAATAGCAAACATTATAAACAATTGTTAATTATAATTATGCAATACATCATGAAAAATGTACTTTTACTAACTATTATAATAAGTTTATGTTTAATCATTATAAACTAGTTGAATTAAAGTATATGTATAAAAATACACTAATTTTAAATTATCTGATAATAAAATGAAAATATTTAATATTAAAAGTTATATAATATTATTTGTTTTATTTTGTTTTAGTTGTATTATATGTATTGATGTTAAAACAACATCGGGTGTAGTGAGGGGTCGGACACTACATGTGCTCAACAAAACTGTTGACCAGTTTGTGAATATACCATACGCTGAGCCCCCGATCGGAAACCTACGGTTCGCACCGCCTGTGCCTCTCAAACAACCTATAAATGTATACTTAATTAGAAAATTAATATTTATTAAAAATAAATTAAATATATTTAATTATGAAGTATGTTATCAATGATACAAAACGTGGTAAGTCTTGCATACAAGTGAAGGGAAGAACAGCCGTAAGTGAAGACTGTTTGGTATTAAACATATGGACACCAAATGCGGGCAATAATAACACAAACAAATCACAGCTCAAACCCGTTATGTTTTGGATACATGGAGGGGCTCTTTTATATGGGTCAATAAATATGTATAATGGTAGTTTTCTGGCAACACATGATGTAATTTTTGTTGCCGCTAATTACCGATTAGGACAGTTGGGCTTTCTATACGGGGATCGGGAGGACGCGCCCGGAAATGTCGGCTTTTATGACCAGTTATTGGCTCTCAAATGGGTATCAATTGATCGCTTGTTTTATCACTATTTTCTAAACTTATTCATTGATAAAAATAATGTGTAAATTAATGTAATAATAGGTTAGAGAAAATATCCATTCGTTTGGCGGAGATAGGGATGAGATCACGATATTGGGTGAGAGCGCCGGGAGTTGGTCGGTGTCCGCACACATACTCTCCCCGCTATCCAAAGGCCTATTCAAGAGGGCTATTATGCAGAGCGGGTCCGTTATGTTTGGCAAAGGGATGGAAGCAATCACTAAATCTAAAGCACTAGTTATGGCCAACAATACTGCCAAACATTTGAATTGTAGTGAATCTGAAGATTGGTTGAAATGTTTGAAAGGTGTGGACGCACTTGAGTTTCCCAAATTTCAACCCAAAGTTATGCTTCCAGTGATTGATAAAAGTTTTGCACTTATTTCCGCTCAAAAAGCATTTGAAAGCAAACAATTTAATTCAGGTATAAGAGTGAGAGTGAGTGAGTGAGAGTGAGAGAGTGAGAGAGAGAGAGAGAGAGAGAGA